CTCTCTACTTTGCTCTTCTCCTTCCTCTTTCTCTTCTTCTTCTTCTTCATCCTCACTTCTTCCTCTTCCTCCTTCTCTCTATCTTATTTTTTCAGAGATCCATTTCAGTCTTTAGCCAGAATATTTATAGCAAAGATTCATAAATACTTCTTTCCCACCCTGACTTTTCTCCAAAGCTCCAAACTCACATTTCTGATTGCTTCTGGATATTTCCTTTATTAAACCATTCTCATTTTTAGCTCAAACTCAGTACACTGAAAACACAACTCATTCATTTAAAAAGTATTTATTATGCCATCAATTAACCATGGGTGGTGCAAATGGTTAAGTGCTTAACTACTAACTAAAATGTTGGCATTTTGAGCCCACCCAGAGGTGCTTCAGACGTAAAACCTGGTAATCTGCTTCTGAAAGGTCACAGCCATTAAAAACCCCATAGAGTGCAATTCTACTCTGCAACACATAGGGCCACCATAAGTCAGAATCGACTCAATGGCAACTGGTTTTTATATACTGAGAAGTATGCTAAATGCATATTATTTCTTCTCAAAATCAGCTCTGGCTCTGTCATAAACTCTGTGGCCTTGAGTGCATCCGAATGCCTGCAAGAATAAGAATTTGCATTTGGTCAATTTGGAACTTGAATACGGTTCCCTCAAACTCAGTTTTCCCCCTGTTCTGTCATCTTAATGTTATTTCCCACTCATCTCCTGCATTAACCCTTCTCTACATCTTGTGATTTCCTACTTTGTTGTCTTTGTTGGAGTTTTTCTTCTGGTTTGGAATTCCTGCTCCTCTCCCCCGCTTCCTTGCACATCTGAGCAAGTCCTAGCTTCTCTAAGAAGTGTTTTGGGTTATGTCACCTGGGTTTGAATTCTTGTCGTTAGTCAGTATCACCTAGTTGATATTTATATGGTACTATATAATTTTTTTGAAATCTTTTCTTACTATGTGAATCTTTGATTATTTTAGTTTTAACACACTTATTTCTTCCCTGAACAATTAAATTGTAATCTCATGGAGTTGAGTGAGCACACATTATACTTTTGGTGCTCCTTAGGATGTTTTGTGTATGCTAGAGAGCAAATATTGATTTGTTTGCCTTGTCATAAA